CTCTTTGGCTCAGGAATAAAAAACATTTAATGACAGAATAAAATAAAATAATTTCCTTTTTCAGAGACAGTATAAAACATTACCTACTAGACTGAGAAAATAATTTGTTTCTCTTCCTTAGTGTATTTTAAATGACCACTGTTGTGAGACCCTCTACCTGGGGCAGTGGAAAACACAAAATGAACCAGTGAGGGAGGCAGCCCTCAAGGAGGTAAGATTGTAGCAGCCATTTGCCTGTTTCCAAATTTTGCTACCTTTTACTTTAAAAAAAAATTTTTTTATTTGATAGTTTACTTAATTGATTGTATGGAGAACCAATTAAAATACTGACTTTATTGTATATTTATTATGATTAACATAAAAACAGATACTGTTTTTGAAAACCAAATAATTTATATAATAATAAATTTTCAGGGGTGCCCGGGTGGCTCAGTCAGTTAAGCATCCGACTCTTGACTTCAGCTCAGGTCATGATCTCAGGGTCCTGGGATCAAACCCCACATTGCGCTCTATGCTTAGAGGGAGTCTGCTTGAAGATTCTCTCTCTCCCCCATCCCTCTGCTCCTCCCCCCCACTTGCACACTCTCTCTCTCTAAAGTAAATAAATCTTTAATAATTATAATAATAATAAATGTTCATTCTTACAGACCACATAAAGACAATCGGTTCTCTCAATAATGTTCTAAACCTGGGGGTCATAAAGTGTGCTCGCAGGTAAGTAGCATGTGCATCACCTTCGAACTTCTTAAAAATGCAAACTCTCAGGCCCCACCCACCTCTACTAAATCAGAACCTCTGAGAATGGGGCCTAAAAACCTGTGCTTTAGTAAGCCCTCCAGAGGATACTGACGTACACCAAAGTTTGAGAACCACAGCTCTAACCTAGTCTATGGTGTTTTATAAAATGAAATCTTCATACCACTAATTCAACCTTATATACTTTTCACAGGCAATGTTTGCAAGGAGACTCGGAAGCAGGTAAAATTGATCTTTCTGTGGCTTCCAAGAAGCCCGATACCTGATTCCACTTTGCTGCCTCCTAACCAATCATTTTGCTGAGATTTCTGATTTTGATCTATTTTCACTTTAACATCTCTTAAGACAATAGAACTGGGGTACGCTTCCTTGAGCTGAGTTAGCAGTTCCCAGCTAGAAACATGTTTTCTTTGAAATCTTCACTCTATTACCTTCAGCTTAACAGTGTCACTAATTACTACAACTATAAATCCAAGCTGAGTATTTTCCAAGGAAAGTAATACACTTACTAGCTATTTCAGGCCAGAAGTACTGATGTGTTCTTTATAAACACCTGCATTTTTGAAAACTAGTTAGAATAATATACTGCTTTAATTTAGGCATTGAAAAATAGAAAACAGTTCTGCAAATACAAATGACTTTTCCTAAAATTCTTTTATAACCATCACCCTCCACACAGAAGCCTTTAGATGAAGGCCAAAGACTTATCAAAATATACAAATAATTTTTAACCTATTAAAAATTGTTAAATCTCTACATCACTGTGATTCAAAGCCTTATTTCAGAGTCACTAAATACAATAATTATTTCAATTTACAAAAGTGCATAGATTTGTTTTTTCTCTTCTTTTTTTATTTATTTTTTTTAAAAGATTTTATTTATTTATTTATTTGAGAGAGAGAGAGAATGAGAGATAGAGAGCACGAGAGGGAAGAGGGTCAGAGGGAGAAGCAGACTCCCTGCTGAGCAGGGACCCCGATGTGGGACTCGATCCCGGGACTCCAGGATCATGACCTGAGCCAAAGGCAGTCGCTTAACCAACTGAGCCACCCAGGCGCCCTGTTCTTTTTCTCTTCTTAATGGTTTCTTTAGATATTTAATTTACAGACTCTCCCTTTTGCATTTGAAGCTGTGCGTCTGACAAGAATATTTCATATTGTCTCAAGGCTTCTCAGAGGTTGCCAGAAGCCTGAACTTCCATTTTTTGAGGTCCCCAGTATGTATGTAAATAGTAGTAATAGATAAGCTAAAGGTGGTTACAAAAACTGGGATATATCCTTAAAGTAAAAACTAGCACATTTGTTGCATTAAAAAATACCGTATCAGCTCATTTGCACATGATTTAACTTGAGATGCTTCACAAATGTGAGGCCCTGGACCAGACTGTTATCTTCACCTCTGCCTCATCCACTGTCACAGGTTCTTGGTTGTCTATAACTCGTGTTACACTAAATTGGAATACCAATCTGGAGGAAAAAATTGTTCCCTGGTCTTAATGTTCCTGGGTTAGAGAAAGAAGACAGGAAGGAAAGGCTAGAGGGGGCAATGGTGGACAAGCTCTCTGTCTCATCCTTACCTACCTGCTGGGCAAGTCAAGAGAAAGGGATTATAGGCGACCTATCGATCTGCTGCTATACCGGCCTAAATTTCTCATGTGCTTAGATGGGAATTTCTGAAATAGGGCTATGAGATTTAACTATCTCATAGGGAAAGATGGCATAACCCTAAAGTATCTGTACTTTCAGATGGATGGCTGGAAGTAGCAGTCACCCAGGAAGGTAGCAGTTCTTCCCAAAGCATCAGGAAACTCGACTGTGCCTCTGTCACATCTAAAGAAAATGCCAAAACATAGTCGTAAAAATACTAAGGATCTTATTCTGTAAAAAAGCTTTTCTATTTTGTTTTTGTTTTTGTACAGGGAAAATAGAAGAAGAAAGAAGTGAATGCCATTTCTGAACTTAACTACAGATCTTGAAACATTCAGAATGTATGGATTCATTAATCTTCTTTTTGATGATTGAAATGATGAATGTATGATATGGATGACATATCATATGGATAACAGAGCAGGCTCTCTTGAAAGGAGTGTAAAAAAATAAATCAAGGTTCTTAAAATTCCTGAAAGGCAAAAAGGGAGGGGCACCAATTAAAATAAACAAATAAATAAACCAATCTAGTACATGTCACTTGGTCGAAGAATTTTACCATCTTGACATTTTTGTAGGCTTTCAGAAGGAGTAATAGATTCAGACACTTCTGTAACCTCTCTATCATGTAGATCAAGAAGGATATACAACTTCCCCAGCTTTTTAAAATTCCAAACTAACTCTTTCAGGGCATTGGGATCTAATCAAAGGTCTTGCTCTACAATATCCAAATGCCCTCATAAAGTTAATAAATGGCCAAAATGTTTAATTCCTGTATCATTTATTTGGGTCTTTCAATTCCGATGGACAAAAATTTCAACTCAAGATGCTTCAAAGCAAAATACTGATTCATATTTGAAAACTGAAAAACAAGGTAAGATCTTGTTTCAGCCACAGCTGGATTTCGAACTCAAACATCCCCATCTGGGTTTAACTTTTCTCCAACTCCCAGGCATGCCTCCCTGAGTATTAGCTTCATTCTCAAACTTCATAGGCTGACACAAGAATTTCCAAGCTCACACGTCATTCTGCAAAGTCCCATAGAAGAGAGTCCACTTCCTTAAGTGCGGGTGGGAGGGGGTGGCCAAAAAGTCCTAGAACGGCGCCTTTTTGTCTCTGATTGGCCAGGCTTCGTCACATACTTCTCTGTAAACTAATCCCAGCCACCAGAAGGACACAAGGTGAGACCTGAGTCTTGGGTCACCCAGTGAGTCAGAGTAGCTGTTGACCTGAAGCAAATGGGCTAAAGGGTGAGGCAGTGTGGTTGGAGCCTCCAAAATAAACAGGCGTACTGCTTCCATAAACAGGTGTGAGTAGCTGGGACAAAAGACCACAGATGCCACTACAAGTTATCATTAGAAGACCCCACCTCCCCCACTTACTAAACTCTCACATATGCTATGTTAGTGGATCAAAATAATTAAAAAAATCATTCGATTGAGGCTTCTAATCAAACTAAAGTTTCGAAGGAGTGCAACCTCACACCTTGTATCCAAAATGTCGCCTCAACTGTTGGTCTTCCGCTTGTCTTCAGGAACTGGAACACATGGCCGTGCAGAAAGCTGGCAAACAGAGGCAACTCTGGTTTACAACCTGCCAGGTTGTGTCACTACCAGCAGGAGCAAGACCAAAGGGGATGATGCACCCACTTCCTAGGCGGCGCGACCAATCTCATCCTTGGCGGCCTCCACCCTCTCCCAGCAGCCGGGACCGGACACCCGGGGTCATCATGCCGAGGCCGGGGCTGGCGCGAGCCAAGCGGATGGACGCGCCTCCAGCCGCCGGCTCCCGCCCCCGTCCCCACCCCTTCCCCGGGCGGGCGCGCGCGCGGGCCGGGAGCGGGGAGGCGGCGGCGGCGGCGGCGCGGCCGGGCGGGTCCCGGGGACGCGGTGCGCGTCGGAGCGAGCGCACGAGTCCCCGGCGCGCCCGCCGCGCTCGCCCCGCAGCCGCTGCCAGCCCTGCGCCGCCCGCGCTCCGGACCAGCCCCAGTCGCCCACCGGCGGCGTCTGGTGGGTCCCCGGGCGGGCGAGGGAAGGGGCGTCCGCGTCGCCCCCGCCCGGCTCCCACCACCGAGTCCCCTCCAAACGGCGCCCGGACCGCGGGGCTGCCCCCGGGGAGTCGCTGAGGCCGAGCACCCCGGGAAGGAGGATCCCGCGGACGGCTGCAGCCCGAGGTAATCACCGTGGATGACGGACGGGGCCGGTCCTCGCCCAGGAACCCGACCCCGGCGACTCGGAATGCGGACTCCCGAGGTGGCACTCTCGATCAGGACAAGTTTCTCGCGGTTTGAAGGGGTCCTGAAACTGTCACTAGTTATTATTTAATTAGCCTTTGCTCTTATGTTTTAAATAAGTTTATTTAGACAATGAAAAAAAAATAGCCTCCCGGATGACTGTAGGTTTATAAATATAATCCCGAAACTTTTGCATGGTGTGGTTATTTGCTTAGGCATATTTATTAACCTGTTAACTCTGCAGCTCGTCAGAAAATTGACATTTAAAATATTCTTTGAGGAACATTACAAGTTCGCTGTTGCGTTCAGGCATCGTGTTATTTATCAGCTTAGTTAGCATCTGTCTTCCCGAAGTGGTACCAAAGCCTGTCCCTTGGCGACGGGTCTTGCATGTGACACTCTTGCCCTCTAGTGCCTCACCAGCTTGGTAGCAGTTTGATGGCTAATATTAATAAGATGTTACATAACACAAGGGTACTGGGCCATAACTGGAAATGCTACCACTTGTGAAGCCAAAAAGCCTAAGCCGGTGGTAGTGGATGCTGCTGTTTCAGTTTCTTTTCTGTCTGTTGAAACTTTCTGAAGCCTTGTCGGCGCTTTCAACTTTAATTCCAGGTAAGTGCATTTGTTTATTTACACTATCCATTAATGCTCACTCAAATGTAAGAAGGGCTGCTAGTAAGAGATAGCAACTTTGTTTTCAATTAATCTAAAAATTTCAGGATTGAACAAGTGCCTCATTTGATTCTTGTAGAAGAAATAGAGCATTTTAATTAAATTAAGTGAGACACAAATATCATTCTTGGGTAATTTTAAAGCTTAAGTAAAATTGAAGTATTAAGGAGATGATCCCTTATAACTGCTTAAGATCTCCACCAACAAGTTGTAATTATTCTGCAGCAGATTTGTTAAACAGAACACATGTGTATTGCTTGATGGACTAGAAATATGTAAGCAACATTAGAGATGTAAACTATAACTACCTGTCTATCTGTACAGTAATGATCCTCAACAAATCTATTTGATGCAATTCATCTCATAAACATTGTTTAAAATTGCACAGTTAATAAAATTACATGCAACTGGAAAGAAATAATTAGGCTATTGAATATAGAAGCTTTAAAAGAAAATACATGTGTCTTCCATTTAATATGTCTACTTTTTTTTCCTCAAAAGAACCAAGTAAACATTGTTTAAAAGGTTTACCTAGATCATCTTCCAACTAGTTCTTCTAATATCTGGAAACTATTTAAGCTTCAAACTCATTTAAAGTTGAAATTTAATTTATATTCTTTATAAACACATTGAAGTACAGCAACATATGTAATCTGGGAAGAGTTTTAAGGAAATCACTCCTAAGTAATATAAATAGCTACATCTTCATATTAGATTAAAATAGAAATCAAATATTCAGATACATGTGAAACTGATCTCCAACCCACTTTTTCTTTGTCCTTAGAAGATATCATATGATCAACTATTGAACAATGCTATTCACCACAGAGCAGAATGATATGGAGGACAAACCCTCAAATATCTGATAGTCGGCTGAAGGGCATTTTTCCCTTTTTCTTCAACTATAGCTTCCTATTAATACTGTATTTGAGAAGGAGATTTCAAAAATAAATTTGAAAGAGACTCTTTTGAAAAATAGTACTGAACATATCAAGAGGTTTGCCCTAACAGAAGCTCTTTCTTTCTTTCTCCAGTTCACACAGTATCTACCTTCTCTCATATTTTTATTGTTTTTCTTTATGGTCCTAATGGTAAAACAGAGGCTTCTCTCTTTGTATAAGTAAATATTACTATTAAACTGGTCACATGAGTTAATTTCTTCATAGTTTTTAGAATGAAAGATTCTTAGGCTACTAAAATGTTTTAGATAAAACTTTTTCTAGAGAGATTTGTTATAGTTTAGTTCAGTTGAATTATGGTATACCTTCTCTTTCAGTACATTTTCTTGAGGAAAGTATTATTTCTGAAGATTACAGCAAGTATTAGAGTAATTTGTGGTATAACTGAAAGGTTTGTTGGAAAAAAAAAAAATAGAGTAGAAGAGATAACCAGGCATTGAGTTTCATTTTTCTGGACCATATAGAATATATATTCACACATACTCAGTTCAATACTGAAGAAGTTATTATAAGCTAAAATCTAAATATTCAGTGATCAACTTGCTGTTTCAGAATTTTAAAACCATAAACAAATTACAATTTTTTCTTTCAATTCAGGGAATCTTGTATGACTTCCTTGAAACCTGATTGAGTCTCAATTGTTGTTTAGTGATTAGTGCCTATTTTTAAACTTAAATATGTATTTGTTGAGGTATAAAATATATTCAAAGAAAACTATATTTAAATACTTTGTGATTTGTATGCACTATAAAAACAGAGAAATAGAGCTGGTGATAAAAACACTATTCTCAAATAAATGAATGTCTTGGATTTATAATTGCTTAACAGTTTAGACGATAGGGAAAAACCGTGGAAGTTTGCTTTTCCTGAGGTGTGGCTATTGAAGATAAGCATTCCCACTGACATGCATGAACTCTAAACACCCGTCCAGTTTAGAGGATGCTGCCAGATCACAAAAGTAACAGCTTACATTATAATGATAATTAGTCTGAACAATGCTCGAAATTGTTTTATAACTTAATTTTTTCTTGGAGTACCCAATAATTGGTTGTGGAAAACCAATTGGGTTTGTTGTGTTTGTTTTTAATAAAAACTATCCTTGGGTTCTGGGATATCACAGTGACCTTCATGTTACTCTAAACACTCTTCATCAATTTTCTGTAAGTTGTGTAACTAGAGAAAAATTCAGGCTTTTCTACAATTAATGTGTATAACAAATTATCTCACAAAAACTCCTACAAATTACTGAGGGCTATAACTCTTGATTACTATTACCAAACATGAGCTTAAAAATCAACTGTTAAAGTCCCATACTAAACATTTTAGCATCTCAACGATGGGTTATCCATTTTACATACACTTCATTTTTAATTCTTTTCTTTGGTTATGATGTTTGAGAATAACATGAAGCTAGATATTTCCACCACTTCTACCCTTATGTACTCCTACCTATGAAATGATCATTTTTTCATTCAAGAGATATTTGCTCAGCAGCTATTGTGTCAGGCTTAAACCAGTGCCCAAGACCATTACATGTGATGCCTTCCCTAAGGAAGTCTATATAGTCCAGTTTAGGTGATTTCTTTCCTGTCCCCTGATAGCCCATTTGGGTTGAGTGTCACTTGCTCAAAAAGATGCCCAAGGTAAAAGAGGAAGAATTTGTCTGACCTCTTTGTTCATGCATCCATAGGATAGAGATTAATAGAACAAGACCTCAGACTTCCTAGGACTCCCTATCATATTTCTTCATTGCTCCTTTCTGCTCTTTTTACATTATCCTCTCTGCAGATCGGCTGCCTCTGCTTCTCTGGTTCATGTACCCTCCCCTAAAACATAGCCAAAAACTTATCTGTGACTTTACATCGTATGGTCTAGGCAAACAAGGAGAGATTAGGTTAATACTTTTGTTCCCATGACTCTGAAGAAGAATAAAAACGACAAAGGTTATATTAGATCCTGAAAGCTTCACTGGCAGTAGTCATAATGACCTGCTATTAGGCATACAGTGATGCATACACTGTAGCTCAATTTAAGGGGATTTGGGAGTCATTTTCTCCTTTAAGTCATACAGGCAGAACAAACAGCGAGCAGTAGTGGGGTAGTTTTCTTGTCTTGCCTCACTGGCTGGCATAACACTGAGAGAAGTGGGAAAAAAAAAAGATTGTTTCCTTGATAATTTCTAAATACAAAAAAGGAGGGAAAGTTGCAATAGAAAGGCATTTTTCCATTTAATGTATCAAAGCCAGTGCCCCCAAGTGCAGCTATTTGCCCATCCATCGCAAAGAAAAACCACAGTTCTAGGGACAGAGTGTATTCTTGGTCTTACTCCATGCAAATCAGCATCTGACTTGCCTACCACAGCAGGGTTCAATTAACATGACACAGTTTCACACATTTCTTCCCAGAGAAGACCATGTTCTTTGTCAATTTTTAATACTACTAAATTACTTTTAGCAAATTCATGTAATGTATTTGAAGCCTCCCAATGCATTTTTCAACACTATAAAATACAGTTAATTTTGTGAAAGGGGAATGTTGTCAAGATCTTTTAAATATCTTTCATTTATGTTAGAACCTGAAGTTCTTTAGTTATTAATACTCATTTTCCAGATGGCAATCTTTTTTTTCAACATTTCTTGTACTGCCAACTTCAACGTGATTCTATTGCATTTAGAAATTGATTTTTACTTGGGGATGATGGCGGGTGGAAGATAGTGGAAGAGAAAAGATAGGTTCCAGTGACAAGTATGTGCTTCGCCTTGCAGAGATCACAATACTTTGCAAAATGTATGTTTGTATATATTCAGTTCTTTTCTATGTATACGGAATGGCTTAGGAATCCAAAATATAATTTCTCCCTCTGCCTTTTGTTAATGGTATATAATTAAATAATGGCTAATGCTTCCTTGGCGGAAAACAGATGTTTTCCTTTTTAAAAACACATGCATTACAAAGCAACTCTAGCCATGCCAAATTCTGAAAAAATATCAGAATGGGAAAAATAGGTATTTGAGTAAGATTCAATGAAAGGTACCTTCTGGATGTGCCTGACTTATGGCTGTGGTCAAGGTGGTCACTGACATTCACAGTGTTTATATTATCACCCTATTTGAGGCCAGTGTGACTGGTGGAGGTATCCATTCACAGAAGATGGTTGACTTAATCACTGCCCTAGTTTGTGAAGGCAGCTGCTAGTTGTAAAATTTAGTACAGGCTCTCTTTTCACTCATTTAACAAGTATTCGGCGGGATATTCTTACTTCAAACAATGGATTGGTATCTAGAAGATAGAGGTGACCAGGACAGGTACTTACAGATGCTTCCAGTCTCTGGAGAAATACTACACAAAAAGCCACATGGCTAATTATACTTATGGAATGTGCTGCGGAGGTAAAGTAGGTGGTGATGTGAGAGTGTGTAAAGAGGGAGACCCGACAGATCTGGGGAATCAAGGAGACTTTTGTGAGGCAGCATCATTTATGCTTAAAGCCATAGGACTCAGATGATGAAGCCAGATGAAGACACAGGAGAAAACTTCCAGAGGAAGTTTGGAAGTCCTTCCAAAGAGGACAGCATGTGAGAAGACTCTGAGTCAGAGAAGAGGTGGTTGCTTTGGGGGAACTGAAAGAGGACCCCTTTACCTGGAATTTGGAGGGGAGCACACCATTGAATCAGGCCTGAGATGTAAGAGTGGGAAGCGTTCCTCACAGCGTCTGTAGGGCATGTATAGGAGTTTGCATTTTAATCAGTAAGTGAAATAAGCAGCCATTGATAAATTTTCTGCTGGGAAGAAACAATCCAATTTGCACTTTGATGCTGGACTGAGAAAAGTATAAAAGGAGCCCGGAGTGTTTGTGAGGAGGCTAGTTGTTGCAGTAGTTCAAGTGAGAGGGACGTTGCCTAGGAACGAGCAGTATATTGAAGAGGTGAGGTGAGTTTTGGGACATGGAAATGAGAGGACTTGGGTTTATTTAGATAAGCA